CGACCCGTCTCCCCCCAACTGCCCGGCCGACAGCGGCTCCATCAACGTCGGCCTCCCCGACGGCTGGGGCAAGTTCTTCCACCCGAACGAGTTCGGCCACAAGACCATCGCGTCCTTCGTGCTCAGCGAGATCGTCGCCCAGCGCGCGGTGATCATGCAGGCCGCGAACCCGATGTGCCAGGCCGCGGACAACATCTTCAAATGCTGGCAGCCGGAGGGCCGCAAAGACTACGCCTCGGCGGACCTGATGAACGCCAACTACAAGACCTTCTGCAAGGAGTTCCAGCCGCCGACCAGCTCGCACGAGCGCGAGTGGAGCTCGGAGCGCTGGTTTAACGAGCAGACGCCCGACACGCACTGGTTCCGCCTGACCCTGCGCAACGGGGCGAAGTTCGACGAGCACCAGTGCCTCGAGAGCTTCGACCGGGTCATCAACTCGTGCGACGGCAACGACCCGGAGCACAACCCCATGAACTGGAAGTTCGGCGGCCGCTGGGTGCGCGGCAACTACATCTACGAGGTCAACGTGATGAACTCGTTCAAGCGGCCCTGGCCCGTCATCCGCGCGGTCGACGGCAGCTGCCGCAGCAAGTACCGCGGGCTCTGGGAGTCGTACTGGATCCGGGGCCGCGGCTGGTCCACGGGCGACTTCGGTCAACGCTCCTTGCTGCCCAGCGCCAAAACCTGTGTCGGGGGCGGCGTCACGGCGTGGGACCTCAAGTATCTGAATGCTGCGGAGGAGAAGGATGGCATGGAGTGGGAGGCCTTCTTCCGCACTCCGGTGTTCTGCAACCCCAGGTGCTTTGGCAATAACGATGGGCAGTTTGCGTCCGGGGGGTTCACTCATGGGTGCTAGTGTGAAGGACTTTGAAAGCTATGCATTGCATGTACGGTACAGGCATGTGTATGTGCATTTGCATGTGTTTACTGTTCTACGGTCTTGATCTACTTTTTTTACCTTGGACTGTTTCTTGAAATAAATTAGAATACCTCGCGTTAACTAAATCGCATTTCTCATTTTAATCAAACTAGCAAACACAATATCACTTGATTCCACAGTCACTCCCAGAGTAATCTCCCAGCAAACTTCCTCCAGATTACAACAAATCACTCACATCTAAATCCCCCGCACGACGAAAGGATACTCACCCCATAAGCGCCTGCTGCTGATCATGATGCTTTTTCTTCCACCCCAACACATCATCCACATCCTCAGTGCCCCACTCGGGAATCAACAACGAATACAGCTCCGCCATATCCCAGAACTGGGCCTTCTTCTTTCCCATCGCCGACCCCAACGCCTCGATCTGCATCCCATCCGCATCCAGATCCACCGCCCACACCATCGTGCCCCCCAGACACCGGCGATTCGCCAGCTCCAGCTTGAGCTTCAGTGTTTCCGTATCATCGTAACTCACCCACTGATCTTGATCCCACGTGAGCACCTTGACGGCATCCTCCTTGTAAAATGTAACATGGGTCCCCGTGGCGTTGGCGCTGAGCACCTTCTGAATCTCCGTGTTGGACAGCACGCCGGAAGTGGTCGTGCATTCGCCGGGGCGGCCTCCGGTCGTGAATTGGCAGCCTGGCGCCGAGCATTGGGGGTCTTTCATCGTGAAGCTGCGGCCGTAGAAGCCCAGGCCCAGGTTCACGCGGGCGGGGTTGATGTTGTTGCGCCAGAGGAGCTCGAGGGAGCGGTTGATCTCCGTGAGGTTGGTGTGCGCGTAGGCTTTGTAGGGGTCGTCGTGGTTGGTTTTGTCCCAGGTTCCGTCTTGTGGCATGGACATGGTCAGTGTAGTTGATAGGAAGAATTGGGATGAGAGAGGAGAGGAACGGGCTCACGAATGTCATAGGTCATCATGTTGAGGAAGTCCACGTGGGGTTCGAGATTGATGATGTCGAAGCCGCGGAGATACCAGTAGGATGCGGGCTATGGATGTTCGCGAGGAGGTTGGTTAGTTGAAGGTGTTTTCATCGCATGATCTCGGAATGTTGAAGATCAAAATATGGAAGCAACGCACCAGAGTAATCGAGATGCCGTATTTTCTCCCCGACTGGTTCAGACGCTCCCGGAGTCGCTTCAGCAGCGTCACGAAATTGACGAAGTCTGCTGGGCGACCGCCGTGATCCTCTGACACCGGATACTCCCAGTCCAAGTCCACCCCATCAAATTCGTTGGTCTGCAGGAAGCTGAGGAGCGACTCGAAGAATGCGTCTTGGGCAATTTGTGAGGCCGCCAGGTCAGAGAAGGTGAATTGAGTCGGACTGGGATCGTTCATGGCCCAGCCCCCAATGGCGATCCACACCTGCAAGCTCGATTGCTTGCGCTTCAGGCCTGTCACTGCCTTGTACAGTGATGCTGTATTGTTGTTCATCGGGGCGATCCGAAAAGTCCGAGGGTCGATGTACGCGAAGGCGAAGTTCAGATGCGTGTAGTAGCCGAGAGGGATCTGCTCTGGCGTCATTTCTTTGTTGATTCGGATTAGCCGTGATGTCCAGAACTGTAAGATGATAAGAAACAAAGTCTTTAGAGCACATACTTCCGCATGCATGCTCCAGATTCCAACCTTCATAGTATCCGATAGTCCGTTCATGGGCACTCTTTCCATTGCACTCAGGCGAGAGCACCTTGGCGTCCCCACAGAAACTGGATGTGGTTCCTAATGATAGAGCAACGAGTGTCAGGATAGTAGTCTTGCTTGATCAGTGAGTACAATCACAAAGGTAAACTTACCACAGAATCCGAACTTGCTGCAGCAGACATTGAGAGGGCAGTGTGAGGCAACCGACCATTCGCGTCCCCAGCCTGGGTCACATTCGCTCTTGCGGTCACAGTCTGCACTGCATGCTTTTCCACAGAAGTCTGAGCCATAGCCGCAGTTGCCGGTGCCAGTGGCTTTGTCTCTGAGTGACTCCAGGTTAGCCAGAAACCGTTAAGCTTGCGAACCGTTGAGCTTACAGTGGACCGCAACATCTGATCTTGCACCTCTTGGTCTTCGAACAGGTGTATTCATCGTCAACACTAGCAGGGGCTCGACGAAGGAACTCTCCATGGTTGATCGAATATGCTGTTACTGCTTCAAACTGCCAGACCAGCAGTGCAAGCAGTAATAAAATGACCTTTGGTGTAGCCATGATGGTTTGTAGTAACATGGGTGGAGGTCAGTAAGGGTAAACGAGATAAGAGGTTTTTGTATATTGTGGGGGTCGGAGATAATGAGATTATATATGGTAGTCTACATAAGAGTTACTGATGTTCACACATTCACTTATGCATGGCCACATTAGAGATAAAATCACTTCTGGCTTCTTATTACGTGATATAAGAAGCCCCCTAATCTCTCTTCTATCTTTCTTCGTCTTTTTCATTTTTTTCTTTATTCTCTATCTTCTCCTCAACCTGTGTGTGGTCGCACCTTCCATCACCATCTGTGACAACCAAAATCAAGACAAGGTTAGTTATTATCCGGAGGGGTTCTATTGATACTGACATGTCAACTCTAGACTTCTACAAGTACCATGGTCCTCTTCTCTCTCTTCCAGCAGAGACTGCTGTTTCTGCTGTTGACATTCATTTCGCTGAGCTCTTTGGTTCACGCGTGGGCACAACTCAGTCCATGGAGCAATCATAACCGACTCTGGCCCAACGGGAAGATTTCTATCTGCTTTCAGTCTGCCGCAACCGAGCGCAAGTTTAAACCTCTGCTCAATGCCGCCATGGGACTGTGGTATGCTGCGGGCCTGCCCGAGAGCTTCAAGTTGCACCCAACCTCAGAGGTCATCTGCAAAAATGGGATCTACGATGTCTTGACGGTCCATGACACCCCTAGCATGTTTGTCACTAACGTTGGCATGCCCCCGGAGGTGCCGAACCCGGGAGAAAAGCTCGAACCTTACGCTATGTACCTTTCTACTCCATCAGGCTGGGGCGAAGCCCTCATCATTGGGTCCATTGCTCACGAACTCGGGCATGCATTCGGGCTCATACACGAGCACCAAGATCCCGCTCTATGGAGGGTAACTGATCAAGGGCCCTGGATCTTTGAATTCCACTGTAGAAACCTGGCAGACTTTGAAGAGAAGACGAAGGGGAAAACTGAGGCAGAGATCTGGGGACCTGAAGGTCTGTGTGTGAATTCCAAAACTGCCGCACGGGCTGGATTCAGTGCATTGAATTTTCTGCCCTATCCAAGGGACATCATCGGACCACGTGAGCTTTGGCCACACATCGACGACGTCGATTGGGATTCGATCATGCTATACTCGTCTACCACCGGCGGAACACTAAACAAGGGCCCTGTTTTGACTACGTACGACGGCAAAGTCTGGAAGGCGAACACCGTACCTTCTGCTGGAGATGTGGCTGGATTGGTAGAGATGTATAACTCGCCGTTTGCCAACAACTGGGAGCCCTTTTGGCTTGATCCAAGAAGCCCTCATTTCGAATTGTTTCAGCAATACAGCTCATGTGGCGTGAAGGATTGATTCCGAGAAAGTCTTGGGAGTGTTCCAAGCTTTAGGCTGGCAGAAGGGGCAGAATTGTGGGATACTTGGAGGTGATCGTGTTTTGATATCCGTTATTTGTTTAGTTGTGAATCTTGAACCAAGAGAGTCTGTGAAGATGCGTTAGAAATGCGATTGGTTGTAAACCGGGCATCCGAGGAACCGCACGAAGTGAATGTAGAAATCATCTCCTAGTCAAGATCCTTTCCCTTCTTGGTTCCTTCTTTTCCGGCTATATAATTTCTCTTATCATCATCCTCTCTTATTTTCTCTTCCTCTTCCTTCCTCTCTTCTCTCCACCTTTCTTCTCTACCCCAACTTCCTCCCTCCCTTGCCATCCTCCCTCTTGTCTTGTCTTTCACCTTTCCATCCTCTTATTGCGAATCCTTTCGTTTACCGTCATCTATCTTCGGATAAGGCGAGATCTGTTCAAGATGACGTCCTTTCATCTCCTGCTGGCATTTCTGCTGGCTCTTGTGGCAGGTAGTAAGGCCACTATGACCCCACCGGCCAACACCACGAGCCTCTCCACTGGATCCACCTACAGTGCGCGCGTGCCTATCACTTCAGACATCATGCCGACTATGCCTCTTACCCCTAGCTCGATTGATACTGCCGGGCCTCCGAGCAAGACACAGCCAGGCCAACCGGGTTCATGCAATCGTTGGTACCGTGTCAAGCCGGGCGACTCTTGCCAAATAATCTCGGAGCGTTCTGGTGCCTCCCTTTCCCTAGATCAGCTGTAAGTCCTGCTTGCCACAATTTAGCGACTGCGCTAACAAACACAGATTGGCTTGGAATCCTGAACTGAAAAAAGACTGCGAGCATCCTCTGATCGACTACTGGGTCTGCGTGGGAATTCCAGGCGGCTCTGGTATGACTCTGGTCTATCCCACTGGCTCGTCAAACGTTTCCATTCCTCCATACGCGTCCTGGACTCCGACCCCAACTCGAAACATTACCTTCGAGCCAGTTGTCCCTGCCCCGACGCAAGCTGCTCTAGTCTCGAGCTGTCAGTCCTTCTACAAGGCTGCTCCGGTATGTACTTCACCTCTCCTTTCATCAAGATATGAGTCTGATTCAAGCAGAATGATACGTGCGATAACATTCTACTCAAACACGGTCTATTGAATAAGAAGCTTCTTCATCAGTGGAATCCAGCTCTCAAGGATGACTGTTCCGGTCTGAGGCCCGGGTATTACTACTGCATCGCTGCCTATGACAACCTCCCACTTCCTCCCCATGTTACCACTCCGCCCCATCCAACGCCGCAGGGCACAGCGAAGAATTGCACCGCCTGGTACCAGGCTGACAAGGGAGATACTTGCAGCTTGATTGTGACTATGTTTGGCACATTCTCGCGAGAGCAGTTCTTGTCTTGGAATCCTAATCTTGGAAGGGAGTGTCTTAAACTTACCGTATGTTTGCCCCCCACCGTCGCGATTAATCCACTCCAGACCTCTTCTCTTCGACCTTTCTTGATATTTGCGTGTTCCACCCTTCTTACAGTTAGACTGACACGTTGCTTAAACCTAGCCTGGATATTATTACTGTGTTGGTGATGCATCCACCCCCTCAACTCGCACTGCCAAACTTCCTGCACCAACCGATTTCCCCACCACCTATCCTCATCAGCCTCGAGTAACCTGTGATTGTAACAAGTGGTGGCTAGTCGGGCCGTGAGTAAACTATATCTTCCTTGCCTTTTCCATGAAAAGAAGATTCGTTTCTCGCATCCCAGTCTTCCGCCGACGCTAACAAACTATCGCCTATAGGACCGATACATGCCTTCTGATCACTCTGGCCAACGAAATCTCCGTCAAGGACTTCTATACCTGGAATCCTGATGTTGTGGGCCCGAACAAAATGTGCGAATACCTGCCTGCAGGGTTTGAGATGTGTGTGGGAGTCGCTGCCTCTGCCCCAAGCAGTAAACCCACCCCTTCTCCATCTAGCACTCGGATTGCCAGCAGCAGTGCTCCGCCAGCGAGTACTCCACATGTGTCTGGATCTACGCACTGTTCTGGCTCGGTGACTTTCATTGTCACTTCTAGTCATACCTCTACCCCCGCTCCGACAACGGCCACAACGACCTCGTGTCACGGAACTGGTTCTATCACATCTGTCCCAGTTCCAGGCTCGAGTTCTTCTACCGATGCGTCGGGCCACTGCAGTCACTCCAGCTGCGGCTCTATTACTTCTGTTACGGTTCCAAGTGCGAATCACACGACAACAGTGAGCGGCCACTGCAGTCACTCCAGCTGCGGCTCTGTGATTTCCACTCCTATCGCTGATCACACTGTGATCATCACCACCCACTGTGGACATGAACCAGGCTCCGGTTGCAGCACTGTCACAATCACAAGCTACTGCACTGACAGCCCAAGTTCAAGAACTGACTTTATGCCTATTACTACCATCCACCCCCTCATCCCGATTCCCGACCATACCACTACGGTCACCTACTGTCCTCACAACTCATCGGGCTCAAACTGTATCCCAGTTCCTTCCACCAGTTACAGCCCTCGTACCGTGACCCACACAGTTACCACTCGTTGTTGAGGACAAGTTCGATTGTTTCTAATCGAAGATCGACACGGGACCCATCGAGCAAACGGCGACCATCACAATGAGTCGTAATCCGGCGCTTTGGTGACTCTTTCGAATTTCGACTGACCATTGGAAAACGAGACTTAGTTCAAACCATTTGCAGTTTTGATTTCCTTAAGCCATGTTTTGTTGATTAACCAGAATGCACAACCACTTTATTGAATTGCTTGGTCTCGTGTAGTATCATCCGTGCCACCTGAACAACATCATTATCTGAGTAGACTGAAGCTCCTATCGAACTCAGCCATAAACTAGTATACTGGACAATATCCCTTCTCAAACTCATTACAATTCCCCTTCTAGTTCCCTAACAAACCACCCCCGCCAACGCCCCGGCATCACTAACCCCCCACCCCACCTCCTCCACCCCGTCCCTGACCACCTTCAAATGCTCCTCCCCGCGGACCTCGACCCGCAGCGCAAACGGCAGCGGATGACTGACCACCCCCGGCGCAAACTCCGCCTTCAACGGCGCATCACCCCGCGGCATGAACCGGAACACAGCTAGCGACTGCGCGATCGTCAGGAAGATGGTATTGTCAGCCAGCAACCGGCCGGGGCAGATGCGGCGCCCGAACCCGAAGGCCAGATTGTGGGGGTCCAGCTGGGGTTCAGACGAGAGGAATCGAGTCGGGTCGAACTTGCTCGGGTTGGGGTAGATGGTCGGGTCTTGGGTCATTTGCCTTTTCGCCTCCATTGTCAGTGTATGGTTTCATGGTGGACGTTGGGTGGAAATAGCGCGCCAATGGGTTTGTTTGAGTTAGAGTAGGAGAAGGGAGGAAAGAACATACCATATATGCGGGATGATGATTGCCCCCTTGGGGATCAGATATCCCTCGTAGATGTCATCCTCCGTGCACTGGTGCGGGATCCCCGTGGGTGCGATCGGGTGCCAGCGCAGGGCTTCCTTCACAAGCGCATCGATGTATGGGAGGTTCTCGCGGTCGGCGAAGGTGAGCAGACGGGCGCGTCCCACTACGCGCTCGAGTTCCTCGTAGGCCTTGTCCTGGATCTCTGGGTGGAGGGCCATCGCGAGGAAGAATGTGGAGAGGACGGAGACGGTCTGTTCGATTCGGATCAGTTCACGTTGTTCGTCAGGGTGACTTGACTGATCCCTAGAGAGGGATGGTGTGACGAACCGTATCAGCTCCTCCAGTATAGAGTGACCCCGCAGTCCATTTGATGATATGCTCCTCCTCCGGCGTCAGGGTATCCAGATCGCGTCCCTCGAGCAGACTCGACACATACGAGGGGGTGAACTTCTCCCGCTGCATCTGCTGGCGCACGAATTGATAGGGCTTCTCGACGGTGGTGAGCAGGATGCGGTTCCACGCGAGTCCCGTGCGTTTGAAGCTGGCGCCAGGGAACCATGCGGGGACGTGTTTCACTACGTTCAGAATTCATTAGTCGACGAACGTATCTAAGAAACACACACGCACACACAGGAAGACATACAGAGTGGGATTGTATCGACCAACCAGCGACCCGGGCTTCCTGCGATAGAGAACTGGTCCATGGCCTCGTTGGCCAGGTCGACGAGGGGATCGCGTCCATGCGGTTCGATCGTGTACCCGTACGCGATCTTGAGAATCACCGCCCCGGCCTCGCTGACAACGCCACGATCAGTATCAGATGTACGGAGAGGAACAATGCAACAGAAGTACCTACGTCCGGATATGCTGGACCAAGTCCTCCGGGCGATCGAGCACGCGCATCAGGAACCGTCGCACCTCCACCTCCTGCAGCGAATTGAATCGTGCCGTCGTCGTCTTCGTCCCCAGCACGCGATGCATCACTTTCCGGTAGGCGCGGAATTGATCGCTGTAGGTCTGCATCGCCAGGGAGCCATTCCAGCCAACACTATAGTGGTTACCAACCGTAGTGAACTGCGTTAGCTCTTATGATTCGTGATCGAAGGACTCAAATTCGAGGCCGACACGCACATCTCTCCCGCAAAGGTAAGTCGGGGCCGCGACGAATAGATGTTCGAGCGCTTCTCGAGCAGATCGAACGCCATGCGAGCATCATTGATAATCACCATGGTTTGTCCCAGAATGGTCAGGGAGCTGATCGGACCTGTGGAGAGGGGTGCATTAGGAGGTCGAGGATTCGTGAATTATTCTAGTGGGAGATTTGCCTCAAAGGGGATAGTGAAGAGGCTATTTCGAGCATAACTCAAATTCAAATACTGATCGATTGCAAGGTAAAAAGCAAAACGAGGCGAGCAGAAGTAACCATAGTGGTGGGGGGGGGGGGGGAGTGAAAAAAAGCAATACCGTAGCGCTCCTTGAACTGCAGCCAGTGCCTCCATTCCTGCACTCCTGGCGGCGGCAAGTCGGCCAGATTGCCAATGATGGGCTTGCCTTTCGGCCCCGGTGGCAGAGGCGCGGATGATCGCGATCGGGACAAAAGTCGAGACAGCAAGAAATAAAGTAGACTCAGCCCGATCAGGCCCTGAATTAAGGTCGTTGTCGTCATGGTGGGACAACGATGAAACGCGAGGTGAGGGCGTACACTTCTGAAGGAGTGAACAGATCAAGTGCAAGAAGCAGAAAGTACCGGGGGTGGCACCCTCTTATTAGATTAAATCTGACTTGTCTACAGACAGACGAGAGCACGGACATCTCTCCACAGGAGCCTTGACGTCGCGGAAATGTCAGTGTGCGAGCAGGAATGCTCAAAAACATGGATTTGGATTAGTCTGATGCAGAAGGTGGAGGTGTTTCTGTCATGCCCATATTAATCCCCGATACCGGATTGGTCACTGAAGGTGTGCAGAGTAAGTAGTACAAGGGGGAATTGTGCTGTACATATAGAACTGATCTATCTATCTGCGTGTTCTTCCTTCCTAGCCCCCCTTATTCTTATACACCTGGGATGTGCAGTACCTAACACAAAAAATATCAGGGCCGTGAACGACAAACTGGAGTCCGCCTGCGCAGTAAGGTAACGACCTCGGTCGACCGATAAGCCCAGATGAGCCCCGACGGTTGACATTTTCGCCAGCCAGTGTGGCCTTTACGACAAGAGGGGGTCTGCAGAAGTCTATTTGACAGATATGGAGACGCAAAGAAATCGCCTTGACTGAGTGGCGAACGGGGATGGACTAATCACTTAAGTTGGTTTAGTTTTATCCACCGACGCGGGGGGGTGAAAAAGTACCCCATCGCCCCAACCAATAACGCATCCTGTTTCAGGAGCCTGAAAGACGCTCGGACACACGCCAGTAGACAGGTGGATCCTGTCAAAGCTGCCAGAAAACAGGAATGTTGCGACCGTGGAAGAATTCACAGTATCATGGCCTGGCCGGCCATGCCCTAATCACGGAGAACCGGTAATATGCAATCAAGCAACAGCAGAATCAATTCGGAAGATACTCCGTGATCAACTTCCACGATGTTTATTACGATAAAATTTGGTCAAATTCAGGCAGTGGTTACGACATGTGTAAATGCTCCGACCATGCATACGGAGAACTTGCCTATCTCATCCTCCTCCTCCTCCTCCTCCTCCCCCACTGGGCCATTCCAGGCCAGGATCCCTGTCCGCGCTGCCCTATCAATCCACTGCTCTGCATTGGAGATCGACCGACCGTTGCGCACTGTCCATGATGAGTACAGTCCCGTACATTGGTCCCTGCTGGATCCTTGCAACCAGCGATCGGTCCCTGTTGTACAGTACTTCGCACGCCGTGAGTATCAACAACCTCGATGCATCAACAAGCGTGCGTGGGCCGACAAAAGCAAGAATGGATCAATAAACTCGGACAGCCCTCCCATTCTCCCGACCTTAAATTTCCAGGCTGGCTGAGATCTCGATGTTACTTATAGGATTGAGAAGTCCCACAAAGCTCATGCAGTGCAGCTGTCAACCGAGTCGATTCCCAATTCGCCCAGGATGAACTCAACCCTGCTCCCGGAGTTCCTCAGTGACCTGCCAGCATGTGCGGTATGCTTCACTCGAAACCTTTTTGGAAAATCATCAATACCTAACTGCCCAGGCTCAATGCTTCGAAACTGCAATGAATGCCAGCTCGTGCGCAACGACAGATCGATGGTGCATCTGTACAGGGCAGAGCATCTTGGAAACTGCACTTGGGTGCTACAGTTTGTCTTGCACTCCAAAGCAAAGCCTATGTAAGTAGAATACCTCTTTCGCAGTCGGAGTCGCCTAACATTCTAGTCTCGACGAACTACACTCGTGCCGCCTGCGGGATCCATGAAGAGAGTAAGGCCAGCTTGACGCCTGCCCTGGCCGGCTCACTGGGCATGCTGGCCTTAATCATGACCGGTCTGCGCATGGCTCAACGAACCATGATGAAGCGATCGTTTGGCTGGGACGATGGACTAATAGTGATGGCCATGGTATGGGCTGGACTGCAAAGATCCGGAGAATGATATAAGCTGACTCCATTCAGGCCTGTGCTGCGATACTGAACATCATGGCTTTCCCCAGTAAGTGCACTCCCCTCCTGAAACAAGCAATCACTAACAAGCCAGTGCAAAAACACGGCCTCGGGACCAACATCTGGACAATCCCATTCGAAGACATTACTACCCAGCTCAAAGTCCGTCGCGCTTCCACTCCTTTGACTACTCAGCCTCTTCTAACCTGAACCCAGCTACTTCTCATCGCCGAGATCTTTTACATGCCCGCCGAAGCCTTGACCCAGTTATCCTTCCTAGCCTTCTACCTCCGCATCTTCCCTCCCGGCAATTTCCGATACATTGTCTACACCCTCGCTGGCATCTCCGTCTGCTTCGGAATCTCCAACACCTTGATCATGATCTTCCAATGTCTGCCGGTCTCCTACTTCTGGAACAGCTGGTCGGGGGAGGCAACAGGCCACTGCATTGACATCAACACCTACTCGTGGTATCGCGCCGCGATGCAGATCGCGATGGACCTGTCCATCATCGCACTGCCCATCTACCCTCTGTCAAAGCTCGCGTTGAGCCGTCGAAAGAAGACACTCGTCTTGCTGATGTTCTGCACGGGATTCTTGTAAGTCACTCCCCCCTTCTTCCACCATCGACCCCAAACACACAAAGCCCCGCTAACAGCCACAAGGATCACCGTCGTCAGCTGCCTCCGCCTCCAATCCCTCATCCGCTTCTCCAAGTCCGCCAATATCAGCAGTAAGCCTCACTTCCCACGGATCACTCTTCAGGTAGGCACCCACTGATCATTCAAAAAAAAAGTGGACAACAACCCCGCCATCTACTGGAGCATGGTAGAATGCGACGTCGCGATCGTGTGCGCCTGCATGCCCTGTCTGCCTGCACTACTGAAGCCCCTCCTCCCCGCGTGCTTCGGGTCCCGGTATTATGCCAGTTCGGATAACGAACGAACCCCGCCGGTCAAGCTGGAGCGGATCCGCCGCAAGGATGAGTTCAGTGTTCTGTCGACGGCGGTGTCGGAGGACGCCTTGATGGCAAGTCGGGGGTGATTTGGGGTTGGTGTGTGTGTGCGGTGGAGGCAGTAATGTTCGTCATTTATGTTCCGACTTATGATTTGAGGAATGAGAATAGAATGTGTGGCGTGGTGCCCGGGCTCTCCAAGCGGCGTCGTCATCATCATCGTTGTTAGAGGCATCGTTTCCCACGTGCTTAAGAATTCAGCCACACTCGTCTTCGCAATCGCTAAAATATCGCGGCAGATCAAGCTCTTGCCAGGAGTCCCTTTTGGGCTCCCAATCCTCCCCGTCTAAGGACCATTCGAGAGTTGTCAGTATGTCTTTAAGCTGCTCGCTAACTCGCATGCAATGGCCGCTAGTACCCACTAATTCGGAGACGCTAAGTAGCTTGCTGCCAACGCTATGTTTCGCAATAGTCCTCAAAACGCGGAGAAGCGCTTGGGAGAGCATTCACCTTTGGCAGGCGATCATTGTGGCGTGATAATAGCATTATTCTTCTTCATCGAGGAAGCTCGTTCCAAATGAGATCTTGTCGTTATGGTGCCAGTTTCCCTTGCTTCGTCTGTTTGTCATGGTTTCTCTGTGGAGGTCTGGTCGAGGATCATCAATTCATCTGGAAGTCAGGAAGACTTCACATAGGATAGTCATCATTTGGCAAATGTGAGAGACTGCGTGTTTTGTCATGGCTGGAGTAGGGTATTGTCGGTGGTGTAGTGGGTTACATACCAGGGTATCACGCGTCAGAAGCTTGGCATCATGCCTTCCAGATCTTATGGCCATCTTGATGGTGTCGAAGTCAACACACCCCGAGGAGCTTGCCACGTTCGTCCTCTAGGGAATAGTTTAGTGCACCCAAATATCTGGAACCATTGTACTTCGCCTGGCGAACTCCCCCCTAAAGCTTTGTCGTAACGGGTACCGTCCAGAAATTGCTGGTCAAGATGCAATGAATCCAGCTTGTTCGCTCTCAATCGATGAAACCTCTCGGGGTCTTCGCGGCTGCAAGGTCGGAGCGCACCCTAGAAGAGAAACGCGCAGCCCAGCGACAGTTTACTTGAATTCCGAGGTGAGGTCAAGCACCCACGGAGAGGGTCCACGCCCCCCTGTAGAAATTCGCCATATCAAAGGCAGTGGACTTGCTTCTGACATACCGCTAGAATGGCCTGTGTTATGTCGGACGTGAACGCCGCTCCTCAAGCAGGGCGCGAGAGCTGCCATAGGCCCGGGATTGTGTACACATCGTAGCTCCCGGTGGGTAGATGTTGACGCGGAACGTTGTAGTCTCTGGTTGAAAGATTTATGACTGGGATTGGTCTCAACAATCGTCGGTTGACTTGGAGTTGGGATTTCGCGATGGTGTGAGGGCCTCGTCTCTCAGGCCGTCACAGATGATCACCGGCTGACGGCGATAATCCCTTATCTTCAAATCCGATGCAAAAACAACTTATCACGAAAAAAAAAAAAAAAAAATGGTGTGCGGGGTAAAACAACGCTAAGGGGATAATGGGTTAGACGCCGGATAGCACCCCCTTCACAACTTTGCAAGGCTGCCACTTTGCTCACTGCCAAGTTGTTTACTCTCGCTGGCTAGACCTTCATAGTCTCAGCAGAATGCAGTGGATACATGGAGGGATATATGTGCCTGAGGCCGAGGCACCCTCACCAACCATAACTCTACTACATGCCATTCTGAGTGTGAGCCTTTGGTTAATTGTGTCTCATACCTGCAAGAAAAGTGCTAGTGTAACCACAGTTCTATCCAGCTGCGTTGTTTGTTCAGGTGCTACTCTAAAGGCATGTGTAAGGTTATATATGCAAATTTAAAGTCTTCTTTCATCAATTGGGGCTGTGGTTTAGTGGTATAATATTCCCTTAGCATGGGAGAGGTCCGGGGTTCGATTCCCCGCAGCTCCATTTTTTGTCTTTTTGCTGCATTCGCAAAGTGCAATATTGTTTCTCTCTTACTGGATCGAGTGGTTGGTGGCAGGGCACAGTACCAAACGGTCGCTCAGTATGAAGCTTTCTGGTGAGATCTGTTCGGAGAGCAGAATCGCGGCTCGGATATTTGCAATAACACGCATGCATGTGCTCAGGATGTTCAAGGATGCACATATTTCTTCGCACTCGCTTGTTGATGAGAACCAAGTAAGCATCATCACAGGCGTGTTTTACCACAGTGCTCAGTATATATATCTGGCTGCGATTAGAGAAGGCCCCCGGGCTCCTAGACCATACTCTGGCAATATTTACAGGGGTTGCTTTAGATCCTGGGGTTACGCAGGTTGCGCGGCGATATATATCTGTGGTGTTTGTATATATATTTTTTTGCATTGAGATTGACGAGGCTATAGTCGCGTTGCCCAATGAGTCGGTACATAATCCCCTACATGATAGGAACCGCCAGAACGTCACTTCGAGTCTGGTGTCAGGTACAGGTGCTCTCCGGTGCTCTCTACCCCTGGCGATGAAAGGGGCCCAGATGCCGATCGCTTTGTCATCCCTCCCGTGGCAAGATTCATCATTGCCACCGAAGAGAAAATTCTTTCCAGGGTTGTTCTCGAATAAACTTTATCAGGAACCGGATCGTGGTCCATCGGACAGAGCGACGATCAAGCGGAAGTAAAAAAAAAAAAAAAGGGAGAAAAACAAAAAAGGCATTTACAGTGACCTACTCCGTAGACAGCAAGACACTTTAGAGGGAAGTATGAAGAGAACAAAAAGAGCACAGGACAAAAAAGATGACTGGTCAGGGACTCGAACCCAGGACCTTATCCGTGTGAAGGATACGTGATAACCAACTACACCAACCGGCCATTTCTTGGAAGAATGTTGAGGTGGTGTGATTGTTGACAGCTGGCCGGATTAGTGAAAGTGCACCACATCGAAATAGGCTCAAGCAAGCTGGATTAAAGTGTCGATCATCCAGTCAATCAGGCACAAATTTGAACCGGCCACGGTGGGAATCCCAACCAAGCACACTTACTTTACAACTCAATTCTTGCCACCACAACCACAACCACTAGCCACCAGACTCCAAATCAGGTCGAGAACACAATCTTGAATGGCCAGACCTCCTTCACATTGAAAGCTCTACGTTTAATGTAATCATCCAACCATGGGCGTCATCCGCGCCATGTCGTCATCCACCCCAATCCAGAACCCAAGCTTGGCCGGGTTGGGTTGGGTTGAGGGCCGGTTTTGGCATCGGAAAAACCCGGACTGCCTACAAGAGTCTACGGAATTATGATGACTGCGCCCTCGTGACCAAGTTGTGTAAGGAGCTCAGCATAAAATCGTGAGGCAATGCAGTCGGCGGAGTGTGCGGGGTCCGCTTTTTTCCTGAATCCCTACGTGTCAGGGTCGAGAGTTTTGACAACAAGTGTCCAAGCGGAAACGCAAGCAGCGAATCATCGAGCTGGCATGTCCAGGCCAGCGCCGCCAGCCCGACAGGAGATCTCTCGGACCGGTCAGATGGCGTTGTGTTCGGCGTCAGTGGCTGTCCTGCCTGTTCTGGCCCGAGGGCAAGCAGGTCAGCCGAGTTTCTCTGGGCTGGACATGGTGGATCCCCAATGCATCATGGGGGTTTCAGTTGCACGGGCTTCGAGTTCACTGCTTCACATTCTTATCGATAACGTGGAAGAAGTCGAGAAGAAGATTATCAGTAGGGGTTGGGTTTTGCGGGCGGGTTTGACAGTCTTTAACTTGGTTTTGGGGACTTAAGAGATGATATTCAGATCAGAAACAACGATACTTTTTGCTCATCGTGTGAGGAGACAAGGCGACTAAATCACCATCCCTGCAACGGACCGACCGACAACCTTCCGAGTTCAGCAACGGTGAGGATTTCGCCGAAGTGCAACCGAAACTCTGTATGGCCCATGGCTTGTTTTTGCCCCCAAAGGACGTGGGGGACCGAGTCGGCCCGATGGAGAAAGAGCCAGTTGGAGGCAAGTCGGGATGCCGAGGTGAAGTCATCCTCGGTCGACTTCCGAACTACCTACGACTTTCTTCCTGCCTTTCCAACACCACAAGGGGGCAGGAAAGAGTATAGGGAATGCTGTTGTGAGTGACAGGAGGTAACTGAGCAAGTGCTCTTATTCCTCATCATCATGAAAAGACTTTCATTGACTGTGAGCGCCCCTCATCGTCTATCACCCATCCCAACTGCGAATATCTGCACATCGGACCAGTTTCCCCGAAGTTTCTCAGTTGGATCGACCGCAAACTCTGGTGACCCACCACTTACCAACGCCATCCCGGATCCATCTCGTGGAGCATTCCTGGCCAGGTACTGTACTCCGTAGCCTGCATTACAATGAGGCGGCGGATGCCTTTCCCATGCCCACTCCAGAGTCTCCCAGTCCACCCCGACTTTATGACGCACCCCGGAAGAAGATGGACTGAAGCCCTGACTCGGGTGGGCCGACACGAAAAAAATAAAACTGGAGAAGCCGGATGAGACGGGTTCCTTTCCCCAGTGTTTTGATTGTCCTTTTATACCTCCTCCTTCCCTGCTGCTTCCTGGCTGTTTCTTCCACTCGACCTCACCTCTCTTCTTCTTACTCCTTCCTCCTCCTCTCCTCCTCCTCTTCATCCATCCATCCTATCTCACAATGGACAAGATGGACAAGTCCCAGCCTGGCCTGGCCTCCCATACGGAGAACGCCTCCGCCGGCTCCTCCAGCCACATCGACTCCACCTGCAAAGGACGCATTGCCGGTGGAAAGTACCTAGAGGGCCTCGATGACAGCTCTGCCGCTGCTCATGCGGACGGCCCCCTTCAGACCGTCGACTTCGACATGCCGTTAACCCAGACCGAACGCATCGTCCAGGACGGCAACCAGTACATCGTCCTCGACTTCGTTCCCGGAGACAAGGAGAACCCGTTCAACTGGGATGGCAAATACAAGGCTTTCATCTCCGCCCTGCTCTGTCTGATGACTCTGTTCATCGGTCTCGCCACGACGGCTTACAGCTCCGGATTGGGTGATATGGCTTCGGATCTGGGTGTGACCGAGGAGATCGCCGAACTG